CAAAACTAGGATACAATACATTCAAACATCTTGGTTAAGACTTGTTCACAAGAATTTTTTAATATATTCTGTATGAATATTCACAATTTGTTTAGAAAAGAAAATCTAAACAAAAATCATCTTTTAGAAAATACAAAACAAAAAAATGCTAAAAATTTATTTTGACAATTAAACTTGTTTTGGCACCCAAAAACTTTTGGTGCCGGTGTGTTAGAGACATGACCCCTATTAATATATCTCAAAGTCCTTAGGTTATAATCCCATTTAGGCGTATTTTGTGCACGTGTCCAGTCATAGCAATATTCACGCAAATAACCCTTCCTATTGTAATAAGTGTAATAAAATGGGTGCACTTATTTATGTTGACCATTAAATTGTACACATGAAATATTTTTAAACAAACATGACCTTTTTGGAACATTTTTCGAAATTAAAACCTTTTGCAAATCAAAATAATATTTTGCCAAATGGTCAAATCTACCATAAAATTTGGATTTAAACACATCAACATGCTTATGATGAGTAATGAGTGCATGTGTGTTGAGAAGAAACTTTATGAGATGCACAACAAGCACTAGAGTTAGAATTTGTGAGTTTATGTGTATCATAGTAAACTTTAGCAAGGTGGCCTTTACGATCGCAAATAGTGTATTTGTAAATTTTGTTATACGTGTGTACATAGTGAGTGGGTGTTTTGGAAGAGTTGGCCCGTGACTTTGCACACATATCCATAAGTTTCTTATTATTATCAATGCATTTATTTAGTGTTCAATCAAGAGAATAAATACGTTTTTTTTATATGATTCAACTCTTCATTTTGCACTTTAGCATTAACATTAAATATAATATAAATAGCATTAATGGTATATTATATTGAGTAAATTTTATAAATTTTGCTTATGCATTTGTAAATTTTGTATTATGTAAATTTTGTAAATTTTGCTTATGCATTAATGATATATTATATTATGTAAATTTTGTAAATTATGGATATATTATTTACTTATGCATTTGTAAATTTTGCTATACATGTATACATAGTGAGTGGGTGTTTTGGAAGAGTTGGCCCGTGACTTTGCACACATATCCATAAGTTTACTATTATTATTAATGTATTTATTTAGTGTTGAATCAAGAGAACAAATACATTTTTTCATATGATTCAACTCTTCATTTTGCACTTTAGCATTAACATAAGAAGTAGAACAAACATGATTATTCTTAAAAAAAATTAATTCATTTTTAATTATTTCTACTTCTAACAACGCATTATTTTCTCATGAGTTATGCTAGTAACATTTAAGGTTAAAGAATCATGATTCAATTTTAATTATCATTATTTTCTTTAAGGATCACATTCTCTTTAGAAATAATATCATATTTAGAAGCTAATATGTCATGATCGGATTTTAAGTTAACATGCTTGCTTTGTAGATTTTTAAAATTATGATGCAATTTGTTATAAGCTTGCATTAATCTTTCATATGCACAAGCAAGTTCATCTATAGACAATTTATTATCGAAATTGGACTCACATACCTCACTAGGACTATCACCTAGTGGTCGTGTGCACGATGAAGCTCCAATGCACTTGAAGTAGAATTCGCCGGAATCTATTGGGTCTCCTCCAAGTTATCATGATCTTCTATATGTTTCTATAAAGTATAAGCACTATCAAAATGAGCAAGTTTGTTAGAAATTGATGAATCAAAAGTATTAAGCATAAATTCTAACAATAACTTGTTCATAACAAACATCTTCTTATCATTTAAGCTCCACTTAGATTTCTCGAAAGTGGGCACAATATAAGCACTATCAATAACCTCCCATAATTCAATATTTTTAGATCTAATAAATAATTTAAATCTAAAAATCCATTATGCATAGGGGAAGGTATTAAATTTAGGAGTAATATCAATAGAATAACCTAAACTAGGTGCACCATGCATGTCCATAATTATGATACAAGCAAGAAAAAAAATAACAAAACTAGATTAGCAAGATATGAAAGCTTGGATCTTTGACTCTAGACGATTAAGCCACAAATCAAGAGCACCAAGCTCTGATATCAAATGAAAGTACCCTAGAGGAGGGTGAATAGGGTAATTGCTAATATAATCTGATTTTAATACTAAATTAAAAACTTATTAACTAATATCCTTACAATACGATATACAAGATAAATATGCAAGGATAATAGGAGATAATAAGTGATAATAAGTGATATAAACAATGAGACAATAATAGAGCACTAAAACAAACACAATGATATGATCACGGAGTTTGGTCAACCCTTGACCTACGTCTCCGCTCCCCATATCGAGGAGATTCTCCACTATCACAACAAATCTACACAATCAGTTTTCCAAGTTCACCAAAAACTTTTATAATCACACGTTGTCAATCTCACAAGACACTCCTCTAAGTGTTAGACTAGCCCTTGTTACCTTCCTCAAGTGTTTGGATTTACCACCTCTCCCTAGGCTTTACTATCAAACCACTCCTCTTGGAATTAATTAACTCTGTCTCTCTCCAACCATTCCTCTAAGTGTCCTTGTGTTTACGAAGCCAAAATAGATGCTACTTAAGGCCAGCTAGGTATTATGTTTTCATTATGTTTTTTGGTGATTGAAAACTTAAATGATTTATCAATAAAATTGGGGTTTCTTTTTTTCAAAATTTAATATTTGTTCTTGGCATTCTTGGACTGCGCATTTTGCTTGATTCATCATGCTTATGTAGAAGCTTGATACTACTTGACTCGTTGGCGGTGTGATGTCAACTGGGGCTCTCATCAGCAATTTACCACTAAATACAGATGAAGAATAATAAAACCTGAAGTTGTTTATCTAGATATCAATTTTCTTTAAGTGCAAAAAATATATAAATTAAAACTTACCATAAATATTGAAAATAAACAGTTCAAATATCATTACAAATAGAATTTCTATTCCCGAATTTTTTCTGAGTGGTCTTAATCAAGTAGAAATTAATGAGTTTTTAACCTAACCCCATCTAATTTCTAAAGCTTTGTTTGACAACTCATCCAGTAACAAAGTTAATAAAATTAACTTGGCTAAAGGCTTGTAATATGTTTGGTAAAAACTTATATAAGATTGAACTAATTTGTTTTTTAGTACAAAATAGTGGCCCTTAATTAGATTATCTTTGGATCACCCCCACGTTGAATCAATTCTAATTAGATAAAGGTCTTAATTGGATTGGTCTGATGTAACATATAGGTTTTTAGAATATTTACATTGTAGACTAAATATCACAAAATCCCCTTAAATTTGAACAACTATAAAATAACCCCATAAAACTTAGAAAACCCCCTTTATAATATAATTTTTTTTTCAGAGAACGATCACAAAAGTGTGACCCACACATTTCATTGCCAAAAATATCATCCTGAGTAATTTTACTTATAGATGCAAAATTTGCTTGTTAACAGTCTTCAGGATAAGGACAGGATTTCTAGTAATATGTTCTAATAATATGTTTAAGTTAAATGAGGTTTTCTGATAACTAACATCAGGGTATTTTTTTTTTTTTTTTTTTTTGATATTTTTAAAGTTACATCCTACAGTGGGCGGGCAATCTATAATCATCCAAAGTAGGCGGTTTCTTATATTTAGCCTATATTATAGGGTTAATAGCGAGTAGACCCCTTAGTATCACCCAATTGCTAATAGATCCTCTGTTTTTTTTTTTTTTTTTTTTTTGATATTTTTAAAGTTACATCCTACAGTGGGCGGGCAATCTATAATCATCCAAAGTAGGCGGTTTCTTATATTTAGCCTATATTATAGGGTTAATAGCGAGTAGACCCCTTAGTATCACCCAATTGCTAATAGATCCTCTGTAATTTTATTTGTTGTAAATAGACCCCATGTAGTATCAGCTCAGGTGTGAATACACCCCTTTAGTGAACATTTTTCAAGTTTTTAAAATTCAAAAAAAAATTAGCAATTGAGGATATATCCGCACTATTAGAACTATAAAGGATCTACTCAATATCTTGAAACCTTTTTAACGATTTTAAGAATCAAATAAATAAATAAATAAATAAATCAATGAGTCCTTTGTAAAAAAAAACATAATCACAAAGACTTATTTCGAAATATGCAAAATTTAAGGTAACTAAATGTTTTTCGAACACCTAACGTTGAGATTTTGACAGCCTCAATATCTGGCCAGTTTCACGATTTGGACTCGTTCAATGTCACGTGCGTACAGCCATGGACCCCGACCGAACCCACAGGATCTCAAAGACCTTATAAAAAACTCACAGTTAAGCTAGAGTTTGAGAAATTCATCTTCAATGACCATAATCTCCTCACCTTCGGCTCAATGTCCACAGTGTCGTTCTTCTTCCTCTTCGATCCGTTCGATTTCAGCAATACAATTACGGGGAATGTATGTATATATACAAGCATCTCCCCTTTTCATCGTTAATTATTTTTCATTTTCGCCTGTCACACATTGACCGTGATGTCGATGTTTTCAGTAATATATGATATATGTTATTGACGAAATGTATAGTAGGTATGATCTGTTCCTGAGAAGCCACCAATGTTTTCACATTTATTTACTTCTAATAGTACTTTTATATATGTTATATCGCCGCTCAGGTAGGGGTGTCCATCCGGCCCGGCCTAGCATACGTCCCTGTCTCCCTACTCCCTCTCAATTCTAAATACTAAGATTTTTATTAAACTGTACCAAAGATAAACATGACTATTAGACAATATTCATAGCAAAAATGTAAAAGGAAAATATCAACGTTAAAAAGGGCTCAAACTTGGTGATAATCGGGAGAATTTGTAGATTGGCGCATCAAAGTTTTTTAAAAAATAATTATGAAAGTGTAGGATATTGAGCGCAGTTTACGCTTATTTTTTATGCTAATTAATGAAGATCATAAAAGCTTTTGTACGTGTTTCTATTCAGATTAATTAGAAGATCGTAGAAGAAGAAGCTTGAACCGAAAGAGCAAAATGGCGGACAGACATAGTCATGAGAATTTCTCCTGTCAGGATCTGGCGGCAAACTCCGGCTTGGATGACTTTTTCATCCTGTCCATCGAGATCAGCATCCTTGTCGCCCTCTCGCATCTCCTTCATTTCTTCTTCAAGCGCTTCAGTCAGCCTAGCATCGTCTCCCAAATGTTTGTAAGTAATTTCAAATGTACATCGCTGCTAAAATCTCAAGTAAATTCCAAGAAAAATCATATATATATATATGCTATTAATATTTATAAACAAAAAATTCCAAAGGATTTTATCATCATTAACCAATGCAAAATATATCGTTAAAATCAATGTCTCAGAATTTTCATGAAGTTAGTTAATTTTCGCCTCTTGACATATAATTCAAGACACGTCGAAAAAAATTGAAATTTTATTTCTAATTGGTTCATGTGTAGTAGATCACATCAACTGGTTTGGATTTTTATTTTTGGGTTCCGATTTTTAAATTTGGTTGATCAGTATCCCAGTTAGATCTATTAAAGAGCCTAGATCAACTACACACACGCCAAGTATATCATATTATATAATATAATATATAAATATATAATATATATATATATATATAATATATATATATATAATATATATATAGCATAATGTGTATCATTGTCATGCGAGCGGGGATTTCCTCTTGACGTCTTTAAAAATCAAATGATTGAGCGACATTTATGGATGGTCCGCTCCGGTTTGAACTGAATCTACTATATTCTAAACCCCAACACACCAGTTTGGAGCATGAACCCGGTCGTCGCTTTGACCCCCATCGAGCGCTCTCATGTGCAAAAAGTTCTACTTCATTCAAAACCTGTTTAAAATGAATTACGAGTGGATAAAGGGTCAAACGACGACGGGCGTTCACCCCAAATTTGCATGTGCTTGGGGTTTTAGAATATGTAACAATGTTCAACGAGCGCGATCATCACAAATGTCGGCTCAAGTCAATGTGATTTTAGAGGGCATCAAGAGAAACTCCTCTATGACAGGCATACCCATTTAATCTCTCTCTCCATATATATATATATAATATATATATATAATATATATATATACTATATATATAAAGAATAGTGAGGAACTTATACCAAGTATAACTTTTATGATTGTAGGGTAGGCTCATTTCCATCACTCGAGTAAATAAGAACCATGTAATCGCATTGAGTTGAAAAGTGATTGAGTTGATGAGAATTAAGGACACCTCACTTACCAAAGTACATAGTGTTTGGTTACAAAGATTCATATATATATATATATAATATATAATATATATATATATATATATATATATATATATATATATATATATATATAATATAATATATAAATATATTAGAAAAATGGAGAATAGATGGCGCTCTTCTCCCTGTGAAATGACAGGTCCGATAAATGTACACCCTACTAGTCACATCGGTGATGGGCGGCTTACAGTCATACATCGACACTCACGACATCCCCTCTCTCTCTCTCTCTCTACATATATATATATATAATTCTATGGTCATGATAAAATATTATATTTTTATTTTATCCATAGATTCCCCTCCAAACATCTAGCTGAGGTTCGTCCAAATGTCTGAAGAAAAAACCATATTACAAATACTAGGACATTTTTTTTATGTTTGGATACCATGGTAATTTTTGTGTTAATATATTATATTATTATATAATACTTAATTTGATGTAGAACGCACTACAGACATATTCATGGAGAAACTAGATCGTCAAAAGCCGAAACGTGGGCCCGACAAAGAAAAGTAATATGCAACGAAGAACATATCATATCTCCCAAACATACATCAGAATTGGACAAGTTATATAACAAAATCATATATTTTTCAAGATGGAGTTAACCTAACTGACCGTTACTCAGGTTTCCACCATTTGTTTCATAAAATCCCCTTCAGTTGAGAGATATCAAAATTTTATTAGTTTTTTTTACTATTTTAGGTAATATTTTAGGAATATGTTTTGATTAGAAAACAAATTCGATTTGATTCTAAAATTGACTAATTTATTTCCCAATCATAGGAGTTTTTAAGATTGTTTTGTTATTTTTATTTGAGAGTAATCAGTATCCTTGACAAGGAGGAGATTTTCCTCCCTGATAATGATGTGACATAATCTCCACTATGTGAAGGAGAGATAATAAAGTAGAAGAGAGAATTTTACATGATGTGAATTGTGCCACATCATCGTCAAGGAGGGAACCCCTCTCCTTGTCAAGGATACATATTAATCTCTTTTTATTTTTAGTATAATTCAGGTCCTAGTAAGAGTCTTATTTATTTTTAATTTAAACAGAGGATTGTATGTCATAGAGGTATAACTTTTAAATTTCTCTTGTTATATATTCTTTGTGGATTCAAAGTTCTGCATAGATTTAGAGAATGTTCTTTGTGGATTTAAAGAGCAACCTTTGGTGGATTCCAAGGTTTTCAACTTCCCAGCTACGTTATAATTAATATACTAAATATCATAATATTAATATTTTATTTTTGGAGTAGCTATTATTTTATTATTAAATATTTTTATTATATCTCATATTATTTTAATATATTATGTATAATATTAGTAAATAATTAGTGCTAAATGTATTAATTAATATAATATAAACTTTATTTTATTAAGTAACATATTTTCATATTGTTATGGTGTTTTCACAGGCCAAAGTACGACCCTTTGCCAGTAACGGACACGTGACCCCCTACATGCACCGCTCAAATCGAATTAACGGTCAGGACCACCAAGAATCCAGACTTAGCCGACTCGTCAAGTCGACATCTCCTTAGATAGACTCGAAGGGCGGTACTTGTCGGCCCTCTTGTCGAAGACGACTTGCTAGCCCATTCGACCAGTTATTCAACGTCTTGCAGGGTCAACTCAAAAGGCGTTCCTTCTCGGCACCCTTCGCCATAAGCCAAATAACGACTTCAATCTTGAGCCTCCCCCGCTGACAGTGCAGTAGCGTGACATTAAATGCTTTGTAGGTGCATCATTCCTCTAGCCCCGATAGTCTTCATGATACATCGGACCATGTCAGCAATGTCATACCCCCAATCACTTCACATTAAATACTGAGGTGACCTCTCCTCTACTCGTCGACCGACACCTGTCACTACAAGAAATTATGTCTTTAACGAAGGGAAATCCCTTCGTTAAATAGCTAAAAACATTTGTTATTGTATGCCAACGACAGAAAAAATCCCTTCGTCACCCGTCGTTGAAGCCTTCTTCGCTAAAGTGTTATGAAGGTTATAATACCCGTCGTTATAGAGTCCAGAACGACGAAACATATTACCGTCGTTCATATCTACGATAGTAATTAGGATCAAATAACGATAGGTATTAGGATCAAATCAATGAAGGGACTAGAAAGCTGTTATCACATCTCACATCATTCCTCTAATATTTATAATCACTCGATGAAGGGTTTAAAACCTGTCGTTATTATATGCACATTAATGACAGTTGTAGGCGTCAAAAAATACTGAGAGATATCCAAACACAGCTCAAAAGGAAGTCATCCAAAATGTCAAAAAAAAACACAAGTATAGACTGTCTCGCACGCGAGACAGTCTTTACTGTCTCGCACGCGAGGACAGCATCAGCTGCCGCGCCTAAAGAGACAGTTATTGACCAGCTATTTCTTCAGTTATCGTCTAAGGAGGCTATAAATACCCCCCTATGGCCATCATTGACAGGGGCTGAGCATTTCCAGAGCAGATTAGAGCAGAGAGCCTTGAGTTTTGGTGAATTAGAGCAAGAGAGAGAGTCTTCCTTCTTCACAAACATCCTCAAGAAGCTTCTGGCGATTCCTAGAGATCTAAGCTCTGACTTGATCTTTAGAAGAGTGAACATCTTACATCGATAAGATATTCGCTTCAAATTCTTACTTCGATAAACGAAGGAAGAATCATTAAACCCCTCACGATTCAATCAGAATCTGTGATTTGGTGGTCCACGAGTCAAAGCGCTCCCGGCACAGGTAAAGATCCCACACAAGCAGCGATCCAAATAACGATCCTGCGTTTGTTTCTCAAGAGTTGTAATTTTTCCTTTTGTTGTGTAAAAGGAGTCTTATAAAAAGGCTATCTCTTTTTTGAATTTATTGTAATTGACCAAAGATATAATAAATTCCATGACAAAGTCAACTTTTGACAAAAACAAATTGGCGACCACAGTGGGAGCCAACGGTCTCGCTGTCAAGACCGTCGTGTCGCAGCCAACCATCAAGATCTCGGTTGAATCAACGGTCGAGTACGAGTTCGACCAAGCGAAGTTTGAGGAGTATTTATCATCCTCATCTGTAAAGTCTTCCTCGCCTCGCAAATGCAGGAAGATTTTATCTTTGTTGAAGTTGTTAAACACTACAGATGAAGACTCTCGCTTAATTGTTGCTGAGGATTCTACTCGCAACCTCTCTGCTCATAATGACTCTTCTTCAATTAAGGAGTCATTAAATCAAAACCCGCCGGCATTGACGAAAAGAGCTCGTCAGAGACAACGCCAACGCTGCGCTCGCCAAATGGCTAAGGCCTTGCCAAATGGCTAAGGCCTTGGAACAATCTGACGGAGTTCGTTATCATGCGGACTTAGAGTCGAGGAGGCATCGAGTGGTTCAGTTGTCTCAACGACCAATCACTTATGTCTCTGCTAAACTCACGACGGAAGAATGGACTATTGTCAAAAGGACTCGTTCGACCCTTAAAGAACGTATACAAAAACGTCGTGCAAACGCTGCTCATGCCTGTGCTCTCATACAACAAAGACGAGAAAGGATGAAGGAAACGGTGGCCAAAGAACCACCGAAACTCTGCCAAGTTTGGATTCCAAAGTCTGAAGTTGTAAAAAATCAACATTCGGAGCCCGTTAGGACTCCACACCCGCAAGGGGGTGGTTCTAAACGTATGACTCTTAACATAACCTTGGATCGCTCAGAGGCGACGACAAGTCATCCTGGGTATGTTAACAAGGTTCAAACACAAAAACAGAAGATAGGTTGCTCTGGTCACCATGCTGACGAGTTGTACTATCAAACTAAAGGTGGAAACAAATCACATAAAAGGACTGTTCGAGAAACGAAAGTCATCCTGAGTATGTTAACAAGGTTCAAACACAAAAACAGAAGATAGGTTGCTCTGGTC